AACCACGTTTGGGCCGTAATCTTGATCTTGGGGGGGGGTCGCATTTATCTTGCTAAGGTTTTGAGGAATCAAGATCAAGATTTTTCTGCCATAAACAGTGCTCTAATGTGAAGTCAACAACAACAACAACAACAACATGCCGGGTTTTGAGACCNATATTTTGACTGCAACCCATAACCACGTTTGGGCCGTAATCTTGATCTTGGGGGGGGGTCGCATTTATCTTGCTAAGGTTTTGAGGAATCAAGATCAAGATTTTTCTGCCATAAACAGTGCTCTAATGTGAAGTCAACAACAACAACAACAACAACATGCCGGGTTTTGAGACCACGGGCTCCCAATCTTTTTTTTTTTTTAGAGCTAATGTGAGAAACAACAACAACAACAACAACCCGCCCAGATGGTTGTATCTTGGTCCAACGATACAAATATCTACCCATGTTGTTGTTGTTGCTGTTGTTGTTGTTGTTGTTGTTGTCTTCACATTAAAAACCGTTCCGATCTCTCTCTACCCAGTACCTTCGTATGTCCGTACCGATACAACACTCGACGCGGTCGATTCCCGTGGTCGCAGCCTAACTTACCCTAAAAAGGTACACTCAATGGCCCCGAGGGGTCCGCAAGTCAATAGAAATCAACGACAGATATTCTGGAGTCTTCCACTCCCTCTGCGCGCTATGCGAGGTAACAACTGAGACTAGGAGTCACCATCACGGGCCGGAGAGAAAGAGGTACACCCCCTTGGTTCAATCTTGGTACTTCACAACGCAAGCAGAAAGAAGGCCATCTGGCACAGAAAAAGAGAGAAAAAGAGACAAACAGAAGGAAATAAAAGGAAACAACTGGCCAAATAGCCCCGTGTTACAACGTCTTTTTTCGCTAAAAAATGACAACTAAAAAATGACCAACCTTTTTCGACAGCCTATCCTGTCATTTGTTGGGCAACTTCTGACAGGATGCGCTTGTCCGAAAAAGTTGTCATTTTTTCAATCACGCGCCGGCGTTGCTATCACACGACAGCACAACCTCCAAGCAGTTTCGCCTTGACTTCCGCGTCCCCTACATCTTCTTTCTGCGGCTCGTGGCGTTGGTGAAGAGCAAGGACTGGTTCACCACTTCTGGCTGCGATGCAGCAGGTCAGCAAAGCCACCCAGTGGAGCACAAGGTAGGCTGACGGCATATTGGGTTCATACGAGTGCAGACTCTGGCCTAGTTTATAACCAACAAGGGGAGCTGCTGTGGTGTAGAGTTGTTAGAGTTGCATATGTAGCGGAGGGACAACTGCTGTTGTTGTTGTTGTTGTTGTTGTTGTTGTTGTCTTCACATTAAAAACCATCCCGGTCTCTCTATCCAGTACCTCCTTCTGTCTCAATCTCTCCGTACTAATCCATCACTGCACTTGACTCGGTCGATTTCCGTGGTCACAGGCTACCTAGAAAATGTATACCAAAATAAAATGGACCCCAAGGGTTAGCAGAGCGATAAAATGCAAGAAAACAAAAGAATCAGAAACAAATAAATAAAGAAGTCAATACATAATAGTGGAACGTGCGCACCACCAGCCTGGGGGGTAGCCTTCCGGAAGGACCCCAAGGGTCAACAGTTGTGGTCGTTGTCGTCGTCGTCTTCACATTAAACCGTATGTCAGTTGCTAAATGCCAAAATCTAGCAAAAGACTCTCAGCCCGTGGTCACGAAAGTGCTAGAGCCATCTGAGGGTCAACAGAACACGCACACATATAACGAGAAAAAGGTATCCAAGAGCCCGAAGAGGTACACCTAAAAATCCCTGCAGCACCGTATGCGTGCCCAAAAACTGAACTGCACGTCCGTCCCACCGTTCGACTACAGTAGCATCACCCCCTCCCTGTNAGCTGGCGGGGCACAAAGCTGCTGTCTGAAGTGCTGTCAGAATGTGTCTGCGGACGTACAGTGAAAAAGAACAACCAACCAAAGCCATCGTAGCAGCAATTGGCAATCACCCGAATCTCTCCCGATCGTCTGCGTAGGCACTGCAGTGAAAAATATCGACAATAGCTAAGAATCGTTCCACATTGAAGGGGTCTTCCACGATCAGGCACATAACCAAGGCACCCGGGTTAGCCACGCCATCTCTGACGGGTCTCTCTACAAAACCAGTGACGA